AATGCAGATTAGGCCTCTTGTTGAGGACAATCTGCAAATTTGTTTTCCCTTTTATTTGCCCAGAAGCAATGTTTTAAGAGCTTAACTAATAACTTTTAATTTAATTCTATTTATTTGTTCTCATTGTTTGTTTCCTTGTGAGATGTAGGGATTAGTTCTGGTTTTGATGACACTATTTCCATTGAGGAAATGTTGCTGTTTAATGTTTTTAAACTGGGTCTCTTAATGTGTCTCAGTTTGGATTGAGAAAGGTGAACCAAGTGAGAAAAGAAGAGGCTGGAAAGGAGGCATATAACAGTATCCACATTATGTCTTAACACAGAAGTTCAAATGGATTTTTTGAATACTTGTCAACTACCCATTACTTTACCTAATTTACAATACTAGATATATTTCACATGTGTTACTTGCGGATCACTCAACATTAAAAATAAAAGCAATCACAACAACTTCACAAAAGTCTTTCAAAAAGGAAATATAAATTTTGACTGGAGAGATTAACAAAATGCTCAATAAATATTTAAGTAAGTCATATTCTTTTGCAATGTTTTGTAGTATCCTCAGGAAAAATTACCTGAGAGTGCACAATGTTTTGTTAAATCCTTAGGAAAGAATCACTAGGTATTTGATATAAAAAACTATAATTATCCATCCAATAAAAAACACTAATAATAAAAAAAAAAACTGCAATGATAGTCAAAATAAGTAAAGAAAACAAGAAAAGAGAAAAAGGGTAAAAAAAAAAGAATGTAAGTAATAAAAAAAGGGGTATATTTCTCTATTCCTTAAAAAAGGAATAGAGAAATATCAGAGAAAACAAGGCTAAAAAAAATAATTTTATTCAAACTAAAAATGCAAAATAATCAAGATGTTGGATTTAGCATTACATTAGATATCTGTAAAAATTGTTGTTATAATAATGTACATGCATTTTAATATATATATATATAATATGTACATGCATTTTACAAATTTCAAGTTTTTGTCTTGCCAGAGTACACATATTAATGCTAGTTGATATTTGTATAGCTCTTTTGGAAGAAATAAAAATAAAATTTGGTATTTTGTTAGACAATGTTGTTTTAATTACCACAGATAGACCATTGGTATTGAAAAAATGGGAGAGTTAATTAGTGCAAATCGTCAAGGTTCTTTATGATAAAGATAATTATTATTCATTAGAAAATATAGGCAGACACAAAAAATCAATATGCCCAGAATCAGAATACTTTTCAGATAGCGAGATATATAATGATGTTGGTAGTTTAACCTTTAAAAGTTGCTGTAGAAATATATTGTTATGAAGATGTCATTCTTTATACATCATAGATGAGTTTTTTCTGGGAATTCTTGGAATTTTCCTAAATTTTCTGGAAATTCACTTAAAACTCCTTTAATTTTCCAGAAGTTTCCGGCTGTTTTTTGTTATTAATTGGAAAAAAAAGTTGTATGTTTTTACATAAAATTTTAAATACGACAACTTTTGCATTTAAACAAATATGTTTTCTATAATTAAAATTTTCACGAGATCAATTTTCATAACAATTTTTTTTTTGCATTTTAATTCATTCAAATTATCTTTTTCGAACATTAGAAATTCCTTTTTGTAAAAAGTTAAATAATCTAAATTCCGTTTTAAAAGTTTATGAAAGTTTTTGTTGTCTGTTAATACGATCAATTTTTAATAAAATAATTTTCCGGGATATTCTGGGATTTTCATAGAGAAAAATTTCTGGGATTTTCATAAAGTCAAATACTCATCTATGATACATCTGGGACAAATTGAATAATAATACTAGTAAAGTTTATGATAATAAAATTTTTAAATAAAAACAGCAAAACAGTTGTTTCTAATTAAAATAAAGATCATTCAAATGATGAAATGTAAATAAAGTTATAGAACTTGATGTACCTTTAACTTTATCACTATTTATCTAAAATATAATGCTGGGTTTAATATATCCTTGAATTTCAAGGATATATTGAACCCCTAAAAAAAGGATATATTTAATAATTAACAAAGCACAGACCTTTTACATTGGCTTCTTGGAATAATAAAAGGACATTTGTTCTTAAGAGAGTTTAATGTTTAATAAAGCAACTGCTCAAGATCTTGAAAAATATGGAGTGGAATGAGGCTTGACTTAAAATTAAAGAGTAGGAATAAAAGCTTCCAAACTTTTAGTCTCGAAGGAATAAAAGTTCCCAAGATGCGCTTTATGCATATATATTATAGATATAAACATATGTTATGTTTATATCTATATTATACATATGTTATTTATTTAGATGCTGGCATACAATATCCTTTCATATTTATATAAACTTTAGTATTCATATGGTGTAGATTTGCCAAATAAAATGATCAGATGATGACAATGATGATGATGATGATGATGATGATGATGATGATGATGATGATGATGATGATGATGATGATGATGATAATGATGATAATGATGATGATGATGATGATGATGATGATGATGATGATGATAATGATGATAATGATGATGATGATGATGATGATGATGATGATGATGATAATGATGATTATGATGATTATAATGATTATGTTGATCATAATGATGTTTATATGTGCATGTATATACAAAATATAATATGAATTTTGAATTAAAAAGATATACTTTAGGATATATAAATGTTTATGCAGCCCCAGTCAAAAACCCAGCCCCGGCTATATTTTGTTAAACCTGGCCCCTGCCCCAGTCAAATATCAACTCTGGTCACTTACTACCTTGAAAAAAAAGCTTCAATTAAAAAAAAACGACAGCAACAACACATGATTTAGAAAATATAGTAAGAAGTAAAATAGAAAGTTTCATAAGAAATAAAATAGAAAATGTTAAAAATATAGAAAGTATTGTAAGAAGTAAAACAAAGAAAATATAGTAAGAAGTAAATCATATAGAAAGTATTGTAAGAAGTAAAACATGATGTCGCAATTGGTTCAGGCTTTTTAAATATATTGGTATCCATAAATTATGTTTATAGTTTATTTAGTTGTTTTAGCCAGCAATAAAATATATTAGGTTTTGTTCTCTAATCAAATATAAAGTTACTACAATAAGTATCAGAATATTATTAAGTATTATAATTTTTACTTTAAGACTGTTTTTGGTAGCTTTTTTTAATTTTTAAATGGTGTTAATATATTTCAGGTGTTTGCGGATAAATCCAAAAGGCTTAGATGAAGAAAGCAAAGACTATTTGTCTCTATATTTACTGCTTTTAGCTTGTAATAAAAGTGAAGTTCGAGCAAAATTCAAGTTTTCGATTCTAAATGCTAAACGCGAGGAAACTAAAGCAATGGGTATAATGTTTTATACATTATTTTGTATTTATTTTTATCATTGGTCTGACTGATTTTATCAGATCTGAAACACTAAACATTCAGTAAGTACAACATGATATGCTCAAAAACAATTTTTTTAAAGCCAGCTCTATTGTTAACGGTTAAAAACCAGCTACATAGTAAACAGCTGGTTAGCTGTAAAAAACCAGCTGCATAAATAAACAGCTGCATAAATAAACAGCTGCATAAATAAACAGCTGCATAAATAAACAGCTGCATAAATAAACAGCTTGTTAACTATTAAAAAGTAGCTGTATTGTTAACAGCTAGTTAAATTTATCTGCATGAATTAAAATAACGTATATGTTATTTTTAATCTATAATTGGTTTTTAAATTGAACTGAATAAAATTATAGGATCTAAATTTATCAAACGCTAACAGATGTAATTTCATTTAATACTTTTGTTCCTACGACACTCTGATAGTATACAAGTGGTCAATGGAACTGAAGGATCATGTAGATCTGGGAGAGAATCGTTCAGTATTAGTCTAAATGGGGTGTTTGTAAATAATGAACCAATGGATATAATTTCATTTTAAAAAAACAAATATCCATTTTTTTATTAGATTAATTTAATGAAGTTTAATGTTTTAAACTTTTAATATAAAACAATATTTTATTTTATCTAATTAACTAAGTTATTGAAAAAATTCAAGCGAAAACTAATGCTTTATTAATTTGACCAAAAATGTGTTATTTTAGACTGTCATCTAGTTATTTTAGGTGTTCAGTTTGACCATTGTCAATTAAATTTTTTATTTTGAACTCTGTGATCAGAAATATTTCATAATAGTTTTACTATCAGGCATCAGAGACAAATAGGCAAAAATAAATAAATATATTTTTTATTTGTTACCAATTGAGTTCAAAATAAGTTATTTTTATTATAATGTAAAATTTTATTTTTGTGCTAGTATTTGTAGATGGAAAATTGCTTCAAATTGTCTTGAAAAATTTTTACTTGAAAAAACTCTAAACAATGACTTTTTATATATTTAAAATATATATATATATATATATATATATATATATATATATATATATATATATATATATATATATATATATATATATATATATATATGTTTCTTATTTGGGGTTAAAATTTTTTTTTTTTGTTTTTCTATGGGCCACCCACTGAAATGGTTTATTTTGGTGAGAAAATAAATGTGCAAAAATTTCAAAAGGAAAAAAAAAATTTTTACTGGGTGCTACCAGTCATTGAAATTTAAGGCATATTTTACTATGCGCTCTTTGTCATTAACATAGGAAAAAATCATAAAACTAATAGAGACTGGTGATATTGACTCATTTACTTGATACACATTGATTAACTTATTACATGCATTAAAAAAATCCATTTTCTGTCATTGTATTTCTACTTATTTATTAAAAGACAACAGTAAACATGCTTTTTTACTTTGATTGTAGGTTTATTTAAGACAATAGTTACAGTACTAAGATTAATCCCTCATGGGAGTAGGAATAAAAGCTTAGTAAAGAGTAGGAATAAAAGCTTCCAAACTTTTAGTCTCGAAGGAATAAAAGTTCCCAAGATGCGCTTTATGCATATATATTATAGATATAAACATGGGAGTAGGAATAAAAGCTTAGTAAAGAGTAGGAATAAAAGCTTCCAAACTTTTAGTCTCGAAGGAATAAAAGTTCCCATTTTGTCTTTTTTCTGTCAGGATATTTCTGTCTATATTTTTGAACTTCCAATAACAGGAACTGCTTTTGCTCTTCGTTATTTGTATGTAGTCTATTATATTCATCCATTAGTGCTACACCACGTTCTGTAATGTCGTTGACAAACTTCATGCTTCGAACAGTAGATTTTACAGTCTTGAACTCATCATCATGTTCCCATTCGCTCACACTATTTTGAAGAAAGTGTGATGGAAGTCCTGTGATGCTGAAAAATCTTCGTGTATTAAAAGTGACAAAGTCCTCCAGTTTCTTTTCTTAGATAACTGAGCAGTCCACAGTAGCCCGTTTCATAGGTATCGGATCTGAAACATTGTTCAATGCTTGGACCATCTTGACCTTCGTCTTAGGGTGAACCTCATCATCAAAAAAAGCTAAAGCAACAAGTTCCTCCAATAGGTACCGGAAATGCCCTTGTAACTTCTTCTTGCTGGGTCTTGTAGGCATCCAAGTCTTTCAAGAGCTGCAGATCAAGTCTAGGAGCTGAGGTTGCTTCAATAGATCTGTACCAGGCTGTAATGTACAGTCGAATCGTGAAAAGGCAAATATTCCTTATTCCCTTCTCCTTTCTTTTTGTCAACCTGAATTGGTCTCTAAACTTTCAAATCTTCAACGCATAAATATCTTTCGCCATCCAGTGAGCTCGGTGTAGACTGACAGGAGCTTTAAATGAAATGCTCCTCAAAGGTTACCCCCCCCCCCTCCTAAAAAAAACAATTGGCAGTTCCAAAAGTTCTCGGTAGTTGTCACAAGGTTGAAAGATTTGTAGTTGATCTTTTCAAAATATGATTCTTTCATCAGTGGTATCGGTAAGAGCATTTTGAAGCATTCTTATCAGACTGTGCTGTTTGGTACTTTGTGGAATTAATTGAGACCCAACTTTTTTGAAATCTTTTAAAGAGCGGTGTGTCAGGTCCACTTGAAGGGTTGAGACACAAGGGCTTACATTCTTCTAGAAGAATGTAAGCCCCATTTCTTGGCCCAGTATTGGCTGCAGTAGTATCAAAGCACATGCACTTTACTTGATTGTTAATTCCCCTTGCCACTTACACGTCATGCACTGCAGATGCCACATTTTTACCTGTTCCTGATGATTCTTCTAACCTTTCATTTCATTAGTCTTCCTTTTGTTTCAAATAATCTGAATGCTTAGCTTTATCCTCTTTAAATTTCTTCAACTTTTCCCATTCCTTGTAAATGTTTTCGATTTTAGGGACAACGTGCTTCTTTGATTGCACAGGTATTCGGGCCTTTGACCAAACTTCAAAAATATAATTTGCTGTGGAATATAATGCTTCCCTAATGCTTTGCTTGGCAATCTGCTTGTAATGTAAGAAAAGGGCCAACACTTCCCTTTTTGATGGAAGCATAACACTATCTAAAGAAGAGAACATCTGTCCAATAAGCCATATCTCAGTTTTCTTTCTGGTAGCTATCGTTGCACTGATTGATGAAGCCATCACTGTACAGTAGTTACACTAGTTTAACCTGCAAAAGGAACAATTAAGCATTATAGACAGAATTCTGCACACTAAAAGTAAAAAAATTACTAGTTAAAAGAGGTTTGTACGCTAAGCACCAACCACTTTTGTTGCATAACATCATATGCAACATAAGCATTTTTAGGGTACATTTACGCAATACTGTAGGGTCGGTAGCAACCCCTAAAAATCATTCTGAAAAAAAATAAAAATATGGTATTACTTTTTTATGATAATGAACCAAACCGCAGGGTGGCCCATATAAAAATCGAATCTAAAAATAAGAAACACCCTATATATATATGATTATATATATATATATATATATATATATATATATTATATATATATATATATATATATATATATATATATTATATATAATATATATATATATATATATCTTTTTTTCTTTTTTTGTTATTCACCTCCTTAAGGCCGAGAAGGCCACTACTGACGAGGAGGCTACTTAATAGTGATTATAACCCTCTCTCAATTCTATAACTCTGAAACACGAACCTTGACAAACAAGGCCTCTGCGCGGAGAAACAAGTTGAGCGCGGTACTACCAGGGACATGGTGGGGATCGAACTCGGAACCTCTCGCTTATGAAGCGAGTGTTTTACCACTACACCACTACCACATCCAAGGACCATTACAAATAAACTCCTAAAAAAAAATCCCTGAGAGCTTTAAGATTTTTGAAAATGAAAAAAATAATAATAAACAAATAAAAAGGAGAACAAGAACAAAGAAATCAAAGAAGAAATATATATATATATATTATATATATATATATATATATAAATATATATATATATATATTATATATTTATATATATATATATATATATATATATATATGAATGAATGGAGTATCAACTTCTCCATATATATATATATATATATATATATATATATATATATATATATATATATATATATTATATATATATATATATATATATATATATATATATATATATATATATATATATCAACCCTCGAAATTTGGAAAAATGAGGTCGGAAATAATTTGCCGACCTCAATCTTTTAGAGGTCGGCAAAAAAAAAATTGATACAAAGGTCTTACCATAGAATATAGAAACAAGGTCGGCAATATTTGTTGACCTTAAACACTTTTAGGTTGGCAATTAGGTTGGCAAATGCCGACCCTAATTCCGAGGCTGGATGTATATATATATATATATATATATATATATATATATATATATATATATATATTATATATATGTATATATATATATATATATTTATATATATGTATATATATATATATATATATATATATATATATATATATATATATATATATATATATATATATATATATATATATATATATATATATATATATATCAGGGTTGGAAAAAAACCCAGGGTTTTTTAAAAAAACCCAACCCAAATGGGTTTTTTTGGGTTTTATGGGTTTTTTGGGTTTTTTTTAAAAATCGATAAAAATACCAAATTTTTATAATTGTATGAGTACAATAATTTTTTTTTTTAATTTCATAAATTCACCTCCCTATTGCTCCAACGACCATTTCAGTCAAGGGAGCAACTCATTTTTTAAAAATATTTTGTCTCAATCCTTAACATTACCATTTTTACTAACAAACAACATTAACAACTAAAATTTTTAAACAAAGGCGCTGTGTGGAGAAATAGATTGAGACAGTAATTTCAGCAGAGGTAATTTGAACCCCAACCTTCTGGTTGCGAGCCAAATGTTTTACTGCTAGTCTACTAGCACCTTTTACCTATAGTGCAAAAAGGGACTCCATCAAC